GTCCAAAGACCAAAGCATAAGTATCCAAAAGAATTGGGACATGATCCGAGGCAAGGTGAGGGGCCGCCTTAACCAGGGATTTCGGGAAATGAGAGTCTAATATTTTTGTGACAAGGAAGAGGTCCAATTTAGACATCTTCAGGTCAGACAAAGAGTTGTTGGACCAAGTGAACTTGGTGCCGACAATATCATAATCAAACAGACCATGGGAAGTAACAAAAGAATCAAGCGAGCATCTGAGAGTTGAGAGCAGACCGAGTAGAGATTTCGTGTGCGCTCTAACTATATTAAAGTCACCGGCACCACACCACGAGGTCCCACACGAAGTGAAAATACTCGATAAGGAGTTTAAAAACTCAACTTTTTTCCCAATGACATAAGGGTCATAAACATTAGATGCACATAAAGCAAAGCCATCAACATCTGTAAAAGATACAGCAATGTGACGAAAAATTAAACAAACAAAAATCCCCATTAATACAGAGGGGTCTCAGATAGTTAAAAGGCCTCCGTAGAGGCTGTTAGAAGAGAAGCAAAAGTCCACAGGGCGAGAGCCCCAAAAAGATCTAAGCAAAGGTAAATTAAAAGATGTGAGATTGGTTTCCTGCAAAACCAAAATGTTACGTCTACATCTACGAAGAAGCAGACGTAGTACCTTCCTCCTTCTAGCACTTCCAAGCCCACACACAATCCAAGAGAGCACGATCATTGAGGACGGAAGCCTCTCCCCCTCCTCGTGGCACCCGTAGCACCAAAAGTAAGGGTATTAAACATCAAGCCCGCATCAAGCTCAGCAGCCTCTTGCTGAAGACGGATTCTCCTCCTATTTGGGTGGGGAGTCGGGATATCCTCTGGGACGATGGTTTCCTCCAAGAGCCTGATCTCCCCTTTAAACTTGACTTTCATTCCCTCTAGGAGTTCAACAGCGTGGATCCTAGTCATTCCTCTCTTGCGATCTTTGATTGACCAATTCGCAACATCTTTAGGCAAGTCCTCCTCAGAGGATGCAAGCAGCAGAGAGGGGACATCAGGGATCAAGGAAAGCAGCCAAGATGAGGGCCGACTCCCTTTGTTAATGAGTGGCCCTCATCAAGGGAAGTTTAAAGGTCAACCTACCCCAAGCCCTGAAATAATCTCAAGTAGAGAGCGTCATGGCCGAAGCATTTTCAGGGGCATCAACGGGGTTAGAGAGAACAACGTCTCGTTCTTCTACAATGTCTATGATGGTCATAAGAGGGTCCATTAGAGCAGCAAAGGCAAAAAGGATAGATGTTCTAAGGAAGAGAAGAGAGAAAAGAGAGCGCACAGAAGAAGCAAGGGGCAAAACTTGAAGAGAGAGAAAACAGGGGAAGGAGGATGAAGCAGGATGGGGCAGAGACTTGCTCAAAACCGAGGGTTGAGGAATTGAATCTGCCTTTTCGAGACAGCACGTCTTTTCCCCAGGCGACCCAACCGCGCTCAGGTTCTCAAGAGATGAGACTCGGCGCAAGGCATCGGGAGAATGCAGCCATCCAATGGGATTTGGATCCAAGTCGATCAGCCAAGATGTCTCTTCAGAATGATCATGTGTCATATACTAAGCTTAGAAGACGAAGAGGCTGGGGACCCACAATCGATATCGTGTGTCCGTTGAACCGCGGGGCAATCAAAAGGAACCTCAAGATGAGAAACTTCAACCGTCGGAACTTCCCCGAGTGGCGGTGCCTTTTCAGAGACAATACCCAAGAGGCAGGAGAAAAACTCGACAGTGGTTGGATTTTCGAGGAATCCATGAGTTTCGTTTTTTATGACTTGCCAACTGCAAAAGAGGAGCACAGGAATAATGACTTATTAAGCATGGGCCGTAGTGGTCCATGACCTTTTCCGCTCCTAGAAGAATTTGAATTTGAACTGCACAATAAATGCGTGTGCACCAGCCGACTTCACAGGGGCAAAAGCCAACCATTTTCCTTCTCCATTCTTTACGGTAAGCTTCTTAGGAGGATTGTCAACTTTAGGAGCGACCCTCCTAACCGAAAGGGAGACCGGTGGAAGGCTAGAGCCAAAACAAACCTCTTTCCAAACAGGAGAGGTGGTGGAATAGCCAGAACCACCCTGGCCATGGGCATTTCTAGAGGAGGTGGCATCAACATGAGCTCTAGAGGCCCTAGAAGAGCCATCGGGACCACTAACTTTATGGTGCGCACAAGACCTGTTATGCACCCTGTCCGAATGAGGAGAAGGTCTAGGGAAAGAGTTTGAGGAAGAGTAGAAGAGCGCCAGCCAAACTTTCCCATAGAAGCAAAAAGGAGACAAGGCTCAAGACAGAAAGAAAACAAGAGGAGGAAGAAAAGGTTCAAAGCAGAGAAAGGATCAAGAAACATAGCAAAAGGGCGGTTGGTGGGTGGAGAGGAAGGTAGAGGGGAGAGTTGCAGAGCCATTGCCCGTGCTAGGGAAGCATTTATCCTGGTAGTGGAAAGCCTTGTGCTGGAATCCCCATGAGCTAGCTAGCTAGTTAGTTGCAGTGAGATCATCCACGGAACCGGTCTCCATGTCAACCATACCAATCCCCATCAGAGCAGATCGAATTATTTATATATCATTGCTTGTCCAGACTTCCCAATCCGTCAATGTTAACAATTTTGGTCATTTTTAACGAAACCTTTCTATGGAGAAACTTGAGTAAAATAAAAATTTCAAAATACACCCTTTACAGTCAATTGTGAGCATTTGATCCCTGAATAATTTTGGAAGGAGTTTTGACATTATGAGATTTTTTCACGGGTTTCCCTTCTTAAAAAGGAAAATAAAATGCACGTCGACTGCAAAATAACATTGTATATTGTATTTTGTTCCATACAGTTGATTAACATCACCCCATTCATCATATTTCAGCCGCGGATGGCGTGGGTGATGTCATCCAACTGCACAAATGACAAATAGTTGTGTTTGGAGCACAAATGCAACTAGGGGGGACAACGGGTAATGGGTCACATCCGGCTTGACCCGAATAGATTTGGGTCTAAGTCCAAAACTTGGACCCAACCCGTCCGGTCCAAAAATTAAACCCATACCCGTACCTGTCGGGTTTTGAGTCTACCCCGTCAGATCTCGGATCCATTATCACCCTCACTATGAGCTTTTTTTCTTTTCTTTTTTTCTTTTTTTCTTTTTTTTATCATCATATACCCGCATTATTGACAACAAGGTCACAATCACCTGCAATTAGATTTCAAGCTGTGTGATTTGTCGTTTAATAGCTAAAGATGACTACTAGTTCTAATTATATGCGATCCTTAATACACCCAAATGAATAAGGCTTAAGTAAAGTAATTTATCTCTAACGGTTTACGCGTACATATCGGGTCCAGCTGGACCTGGACCCAAACCAATATAGTGTTCGCATCCAAGTTTTGGACCCAGACCCGACCCGCCGGGTCCAAATGCAAGACCCATACCCGGCAGGTCCTAGGTCGGGTCCGGGCCCATTGCCACCCCTAAATGCAACATTCAATTTTTATTTTATGTTTTGTTACATAAATAAACCATCATTATTTTAGAAAAGATTTCAAGCAATGTTTGATTATCATTGAAAACTCAGACCGTCCATCCATGACATCTGGCAATTAGGGCCACGTCAAACAACCGTAGGAACTTAAGTACTAACATTATATATACAAAGCCATGATGCATTAGTTTTGAATGGGGAAAACATTGCAATCTTCCCCCCTCTCTTTTTTTTTTTTGGATAGATACATGAAGGGATCATTCTTCTTCAAAAAAGGATTCCATCTCAGAATTGAGACTATCTAATACCAATTTGAACATGCATTGCGATTCGAATCAGCATTCTGTTACTCAAATATTGCAAAACACATGGAGAGAGCACCCGAAGGGGGGTAGAAGGAAGTCATATCTTCGAGGGTTAACCTTCAAACGAGTTTCACGTCTCACCTTTTCCCGGCCTTTCAAGAGATATCTGCTGCACTTTTCACAAGGTCTCTAGTGAACGCCTTTCTGCTCCGTGCAGAACACAAGCCCGAGTCTAAGTCCGAGTCCAATTGGGGAAATGAATACACTCTCTCTCTCTGGGGAGGGAGGAGGGTGCGTGTGATGAACCCTATCGGACCCACAATGGCATTTGCTTTAGAGGGACCCCTCAAGTCAGTTTAAAGGAACAAGTTTTGGGGACATTATTTCATGTGAAAGTTCTCACCAGGAGAAAGGTCTCCATTTCCCAAGTTTGTCTCATAGGAAAGAGATGATAGTTCCAGACATGCTCCACCAGTGTAAATAATGGAAAAATGCTGTCATCCCTATTTTTGGTACGAAAGTGCTTTCCAGGGGAATGAAGCTTTGCATACGGAAAGTTCTCTCCCTAGGTAACTCTCCAATGAAACAAACACAGAGAGTAGCAAATTCCGAATTCATGGATTTCATCTCGATCACATATAACAAATTCCAAATTCATGGATTTCATCTCGATCACATATAATATCTCTAGAAGAAATACAAGAGAATAGAAAAGAAGTATAAGCAAATACAAGGATTAGACAAAGTTGGTGACCATCGACGATGGTTAGTTGACTCCACCCATCGCCAAGAATCAGCCTTGCAGTTGAACTCTCTATGGCAGTGACAAAGATTAGCGGAAAGGCCAGACAGAAGTTCTCTAATCTCCACAAAGATTGAAGTCAACTTCCAATGAACTCTAGCCTCTCCCTTACACCAGGTAATGACATTTAAGGTTTCACCTTCAATAATCTTATGGCCCTCCATCTTGACCGCATATAGGCGTATACATGAAGAGGAAATCTGATTATAGTTCACTAATTTGAATGTAATTAGTTTTAGGCTAAATTATCACTACCTGTTGTGAGCTTGTATTACTGTGCTACTTATCAATGAAGCATTCCAAAAGGAAAATGCACACGAAAACACCGACAAATACATAAACAGAAGAGTATCCAAAATGTGAGGGACAGAATCAAAAGCACAAATGTTTGTAAAGATTAAGGAGGTGATGCACCAAGGAAACCATTTCATCTCATTATGCCTCTTGTAAAAAGGATCACATACAAAGTCAAAATAAATGACATTTAGACAAAAGACGCCACATTCGAATATATTATACCCCAAAAATAACAGGAGAACAACAATACATGTATACATTGAAAATAATGACTTCCACATAGGGGGCTGTCTAGCTTCAAACCACGAACAGTACATGGAAAACTATTGTACAGAATCGTCACAAGAGCTCGTCTTGGCTCACCTTCGACGAGACAATTTCATGGCATTAGAAGGCCTTGTTATGCATCTTTAACAAATATGAACAAAAAAACTAACAACGACCATGAATATGACTGCCCCCCAATAAAAGGAACCAAAAAAAAAAGAATACACTATAGAGGGTAGATTTGAAGGAACTTACAGTTGAAATGTACAGAAGAAGCCTCATTCTAAAGAGAGAGAGGGGGGCCCATCCTCACAAAGATCAGAGTGAGAAGCACTGGGAATAATGGTGGGTGGGGACCACTGATCGGGAACCATCAAGAAGTAGGCAGACATGGCCTTTCTAAACCTTTTCTTGTATTGTTTTGGAGAGATTACAGTAGGGGACTCATTTTTAGGGCCCCCAAGAATACCAGAAGCTTTGACCCATGTCTCAAGGTGTTTATCCCATGTGTATTGCCTCATGAAATCGATGATCCCAAGGACCAGCTCATGCTTCTCCTGGTCCACCCCCACAAGCAGCGAGTAGTCCATAACATCGATTGACTGCAGCATAATGAAGAAAGATAAGTGATTCAGGACTTCACATAGAGCATCGCCATATATGTTGGCCATTAATGAATGATGACCTCAATTTCTGCCTAAATAAGCAGATATTAAGATACAAATGAAGGCAGGTTGGAAGCTACATCTTCTAGTGGCACCCTCTCCTTTTACTTTTAAATGAAAATTGGAAAACTGCAATTTCAGCCTTTTCTTCCTTTTTTTAAGGAAAACTTTTAAATGAAAATTGGAAAACTGTAATTTCTGCATTTTCTTCCTTTCCTAAGGAAGGAAATAGTACAAGGATAAGAACTGTGAACAGTATAATGATTAGCAGAACAAGGTCAAAAAGATTACCCCTTGAAAGAACTTGAAAACAGAAGCCCTTATGGCTTTCATAGCAGACAACACCTTATTTATCTAAGTTACTTCTTTCCCACTTTTCCTTAACAATTAAGTTCCCCTTGCAACATGTGCGTGCAAATCCTAACAGTTACATTGGAGGAAAGAATTCTCCTAAAATTCTCAAAAACTGCAAGCAAAACGCTTCAGATTACCGCAAGAAAAGCAGTATCGTTCCAGACAGCTCTCTCAAGCAGCCGTTTTGCCTTGTTCCCAACAAAGATAGGAGATGTAGGCATGGCTTCAATCAAGTTCTGATCCAACAGAACCTTATTGCTTCCGCTCGAATCTGGATTGTAACGAGACCTTGAAGATCCTTTCAGATCATAAAGCCTTGTTACATTTCTTCTAAACAAAAGGTTCTCCATAACCATTAGATCCATCCTTGATTCCTTTCCACCTTTAAGATGCTTTGTGGTCACCTATCCAGTAAGAAATGAGACAGAAGAAAGCCAAAAAGAAAAAAAGAAATGAGTTAAAAGAGAGAAAGCAAACGAATCGAATAACCATTTATGGCCATACAACAGCCAGACCCTTTGCATTTTCAAAGTAACCAATCAAAACGCTTTCGAATTTGGAAGTATAGTTGCAGCACAATTATAAGTTCACTTATTTTCAAACCCATTTAACATCCATCTTGCAAGCATATATGACTTCTGACATTCAGCATATATGGTATTATGTAGGCCTATGTTTAGTATACAATTTAGGCTACTGTGAGATATTGAGAATTTGAACATCTAATTATATCAGGGTCATCTCAGTTGATTGTCAAGTTATTCAAATTACATTCAGGGTCCCCAGTTGATATGAAGCTGTTAATTATAGCGGTCACTTTCTCCCCCCCCCCCCCGTCCCCTCCCCTCCCCCTTTTGATGAAGACAATGGTTGCCAAATGGCCACTTTCACCATTTCTAAAACTTAATGACAAATTCCCAGAATGTGCACGCAGCAGAACAAGAACAATCTCCAGATCCTCTAGTCTACATATATCAGGACAGCTAGCCAAACTAGTCTACAGAGATCAAAATCAATAAGCATGGAGAGAAAAGAAGAAAATACAAGAAGCTCAGGATGCCCTAAAAATCAAACCCAATATCATAGAAGGAAAAAGGGTATAGCTAGATAACCAGATAGCAATCAAAGAGACAAAAACGAAGGAGAATGTATACAGAAATCCAGCTTATCCAAAACATAAAAAGTATGTTCAATGGTGTGGAAATCAGCATAATCCATTGAATGGATGGAGTAGAGGGAGTTGGTGTACCATAAGGGGTCTCACTCATCAATATATTGAACAATGATGATCTCAAAGGACTATCATTTCCTGTAATCCGTTAGATTACGGTATACTTTCCCAAAAGAGGATGCAATCCCAGATCCTTAACTGGTAAAACCCAAGTTTGCTACCCAAACTATTCTACTGAGGTCAAAACCAATAACCAATAAGAAAACGAAAGAAAATACAAGAAGCTAGGGAGGCCCTAGGCATCAAACCCAATATCAGAGAAGAAGAATGAGCCCAACTAGAATAACCAGATAAAAACCAAAGAGGTAAAGAAGAAAGGGAAAGTATACTACAATAAAAACCAAAGAGGTAAAGAAGAAAGGGAAAGTATACTACAATATATAGGAATTGAGCCTAGGATGTAGCGTTGCAAATCGTCAAGCGCTAACCAATTAAGCCTGGGCTCTTTTCCTTATTGGATGTAAAATTAGATGGCTGCATTTATTCTATTGACCGAGCTCAAACTTCAAAAGAAATTTTCTCAAACTATGACACACCCAAGCTATCAGATTTCACATCAGATTGTTATTGGTGATTGTGACCTCCTTGTATAAGAGATAATTGTGTGTGTGTGTGTGTGTGCGTGCATGCGTGCATGCGTGTGTGTATGTTACTAAAATACAATGGTGTGGAACATCATCATCCAATGAATGGAAGGTGATAGAGGGAGAGGAGTGCACCATAAGGGGGTTCCACTCCCTCCATCAACATCCATCAATATATTGAACAAAATGCTCATAAAGGATTATGGTGTTGCCTTTGATCTATAGGATTATAGTACAGTTTTCCAAAAGAAAATGCAATCCCACATCCTTACCTGATATATCCCAAGGATCTTTGCCAAGCACGTTGGACTCCCCGTACTCAAGGATTCCGAAAGATACTTAAAATACTCTGGTGCAAACTTAATGAATGATTCCAGCTCTGTCTTTGTGACTTGTTTGATGATAAACCTATCATCCAGGGTTTTTGCAAAGAACACATTGCTCTTTCCACCTTGGGCTCCCCATTTCTTACACCGACTTAAAGACCTTATAAAATCCAGTTCCGTTGGGCAACATTTCCTCCTTAATGCATCGAACCTCTTTGCGTAATAACACGTCACTGAGTATTTTACCTTCCCCAATGGACCCTCATCGGTGAAAGAAACCCTAACATGCAGAGCTTTGGTAAAAATAAGTGGGTCTAGAGATAGAGAGTTCCGGCTTCCTGAGATGATTGACACACCATCATCCAAAGACCCAAAACTTCTAAGTGAGTCAGAACTCACTGAGTCATCTATTGAAGACTGAAATGGGTGAGAAGATACATCTGAGAGAGATGAAGGAATTGAGTAATCACCTATTTCCTTACCCCTCTCTCTATCCTCTGAAATCTGAGAATGATAATCTTGTGAAACCAACGCAAAAGCTATCATACTCGTGGGCTCCTCATCATAAACTGGCACCACAGTGTCATTGATGCCAACTGGTAGAAGAAGCCTAGCCCCACCTTGATGCTCAAGCTCTCGGAAAGAGGAGACATAAGTGGGGTTATAGTCGCCTAGGGCATCATATCTGGGGGCCCCACCAGAGGAGCTCTTGCTGTATGCACGATAGAAGTTCAGGAATGGAGCTCCAAACCAGCTTGCAAAATCCTCACCATGGTCATTCCCCTTGACATGAACAATAGGTTGGGCAACCTCCTCAGGTTTAGCCTTCACAACTGAAGGTTCCAATATAGTAACAGGCGTATCCACAAGGGCTGGGTCTTTAGCAACTGGTCCACTCTCTATAGATGCTAAACTTTGTTGGGGGTGACCTTCACCTGTCCAAGCGGCATCCAAAGTGTCCGAAAGATTTGCCAATATTGGAAAATGCCCCTCTGAGAGGACCCTTCGAACCCCAATACCAGCTTCGGGGAAATTCAGTTCATCTGTGATATTAAGACTATTGGTAAGGCAAAATTGACTTTCTTTCTGATGTATCTTATCTGGGTTCAAATTGTTTTCTTGATGGTCTTCAATGTGTTTGGGGTCATCACCGAGCCCTAGAATGTCTTCTTCTGAATGCCAGCCCCCTTTAAGAGCTTCATCTGATTTTATGCCCAACCGTGGGGATTCAGAGCCAGTTAAGTTATCATTTTGCTTCGGCTCTGAAGTGTGTATAGACACAGTTTCAATTGAGTTGGTTGTTGCTTTGGGTTTCGTCGGGTTGTTTAGTTCTTCACGGGTTTTGTGATCTGAACTAGTAGCAGCCATGTTTTTTAACGAGAGGTCTAGGAAAAGCAACCGATGGTCCCATACATAGGACTGAAAGAGCAATTGCCTTCTAAGTCGATTCAACTCAAGGATATCAATAACCGGTTGCCCTTTGTTAAATTCCTTGGAAATTGCTTTTTGTAGTGATTCCTGCTCCAAAAGAGAAGCAGCCAGAGTTCAGGAAACCCAATTTATCTTAAAATTGGATTCAGTTAAATTTTGAGAACTAAATTTGAATAGGAAAAAGTTTATATAAGGTTGTTGCAGTAATCTACACCTTTCATTTGAACGGTATAGATTTGACATATTTTAAAAGATTTGCCACTTTTTGACATTGTCTTATGATAAGTTTCAGATCTACAGTCCAACTAAAATAGATGGTGAACAATATGGCAACCTTACTTCAACAAGTAAGGTCGCAACCTTATTAAACCGCACCCATTTTAATATATTATCTTCAAAAGACCAAGATTGGGGTGATTTTGGAATCACTTGTAAAAATTGGTCATTTCTAATTTTCTTTTCTAAGGATATGACCATTTTTGAGATTGATCTGTTTTCTTTTTTGGCCTTCGTTAACAAAGTTATATAGGGACCAATTCTCAGTACAGTTTGAGCTAAAATGAAAAATTCTGAACTTTTGTATGAACTATCACAAAGTGGTACTTCTTTTTTTCTTGTTCTTTTTTTTGTTGTGAGAGAGTGTGTACGCGCAGGCGTGTGTGTGTCAGAGAGAGAGAGACACAGAGAGACAGAGTGTGTGTGTGTGTGTGTGTGTGTGCACCTCAAATTCTGCCTTCTCTTTCTGCAGCATCCCTTCGAGTTCTGCAATTCGACGCCTTGATTCAGGAGCTTTAGCATTGGAGTAAAGTGGTCTGGAGCTTGTAGTTTTTTCTCCAATTTGGCGCAAAGAGTCAAACACTTCGGCGAAAAAAAGCTCTGCCCTGTCAGTTACCTGTTCCGTGTTGTCTTTGAAAGGTTAACCTTTATATAAGACGAGATTCCTAGAAAGTTTCAAAGTCATGATTTCCTCAAAGAGCAAAGATCTAACCTCAGCCGCTTCTTTCTTGATCCACTCCTGATGTTGGTAGTCAAAATCCAGTTTGGAAGGTGGCAAATATACATTATGGACGTCAATTGATGCATACCGAAAGCAAGCAACCATTCTTCCAAACCTGTTCAAATATAATTACATGAACTAAAGTGACAAAAACTATGCTTCTAAGAACCTCAGACACTCATGCCATTCAAAAAAATGCACACAATCTAATGCACACACATGGAGGGAGAGACACAGAGAGAGAGAGAGCGAGAGAGAGAGAGAGAGAGAGAGAGAGAGAGAGA